TGTACCAAGATGTTTTCTGGACGGCGCAGAATTATTGTTTGAGTTAAAAGAAAGAGATAAACTTTATTCAAGTGAAAATAGACATGAACATGTGCCAACACGAAATGACTGTCTCATAATATGTTTATTGGAAACATCGTTTGCTTGTTATTCATTTTTTTACAACAAACAAAATCAGATATGTTTTGTGTCTAACAAATCAAGTTGGTCAGGGGGTTACATTATTGATCATGGAACTGAATTGTACATCGCAGAAAAATGTAAGTTCTCCTATATATTCATACTGATTGTTACTCTAGCTTGCTAATTCTCATGATATAAGTTATTCTAGATTGTAACTCTAGCTTGCTATAGAGTATGATATAGGTTTATCTAGATTGTTACTCTAGCTTGCTAATTCTCATGATATAAGTTATTCTAGATTGTTACTCTAGCTTGCTATAGAGTATGATATAGGTTTATCTAGATTTTTACTCTAGCTTGCTATAGAGTATGATATAGGTTTATCTAGATTTTTACTCTAGCTTGCTATAGAGTATGATATAGGTTTATCTAGATTGTTACTCTAGCTTGCTATAGAGTAGGATATAGGTTTATCTAGATTGTTACTCTAGCTTGCTATAGAGTATGATATAGGTTTATCTAGATTGTTACTCTAGCTTGCTATAGAGTAGGATATAGGTTTATCTAGATTGTTACTCTAGCTTGCTATAGAGTGTGATATAGGTTTATCTAGATTTTTACTCTAGCTTGCTATAGAGTAGGATATAGATTTATCTAGATTGTTTCTCTAGCTTGCTATAGAGTAGGATATAAGTTTATCTAGATTGTTACTCTAGCTTGCTATAGAGTATGATATAGGTTTATCTAGATTGTTACTCTAGCCAACTATACTGCTTGCATTGAATATATAATCCGTATAGGATATAACACGGCAGAGGGTTTTTATTATATTTAAAATCCCGCATCCTGAGTGATTTCCCAAGGGAAAGTGTTTTATCTGACTTATAAACTGACAAGGAATCCTTTGCTGAGTTGTTTGAAAAAACAATCTCGAGATGTCGCCATGGAAAAATGTCTTGATGATCCATCGGACTGCTCTGGATCTAGTTTGCTAGTATTCAGGAATCGCATATCCAACCATTAGTAAAATATAGCGGCAGTACCTTAAAAAGTCAAAACCGAAAAAATTTCACGCTTGCCGAAATTTGACTTAATAGGTTTTACCATTGGATGGTAAAAGCGATGATGTAGACAACGGTTCAAGTCCTATTACCAAACCTAATAAACAATACGAATATAAGATATATAAACGCACCGATCGAACACAATTCGCACCTAATGGTGTCCACTGGAGTTGAAGAACGTAATCTCTCTTGTTTATAATTCCAAAAATATTCTTGCAAAGGGGTGCAACTCGAAACTACAAAAGTGGTCAATTCAGCCGACGACCATTGAGCTAGACTATATATTTTATAAGGGATTCTGGAGTAAATATTTATAGAGTTGATTACCCGGGATATTATATAAAAGGCCTTGGATTTAAATGTAGTATATAATATCTGCGGGATTTTAAGTATAATCCCCGGGATATTATATATAAAATTCCGCGGATTTTAAATCAATAGGATCACGTCATAAGAGGTTTATAAGTATACCCATCTCATGATTGTTTCCCTTTCTACTTTCAGCTTTGATGTGTGAAAGTCGTGTTGAAGATAGGGTGCAATGTAACCACTCTGATAAAGCCTCTTGTATTGATACAGGGTGTTGCTATGATGATGGTAATGCAACAACCGTATCTTGTTTTTATAAATTTCAGTTGAGACTTGACTGCTGATGGAAACGTTTGTGAAACGAATAATATTTGAAAACATGTTTTCATAAAAAAAAAATCAAGAAATTACTTAAAAACAAAATGTACATCTTCATCTCTGGAACTCTCTCCTGAAACACCTCCCTGACATAAAATCATTGCTTTTAAAACCCAACTCAAATCAAAAGATTACTACAGAAACAAGCCGGTTTTTCAAAAAAGTACCACTTTCAAAGATATCCTTAAAGCCGAAGGGAAGCACAATCCAACAAGTTCACAACACTTAGGGTTTGTGTTTGCCACTTAGAGTGTTCCTGTTGAGAGTACACATTGGTGAAAAAAACGACATCTTAACGTAAGAGTTGCTGAACATAAATCTAAAGCCAGCCATAATACTTCAACACTTACAGAACACCTTGAACTGAACTGGTAACATAAAAGTGGATTGGAAATATATCAACACCTGAGAAACGAATCAACACAACAAAAAGACAAGACGCATCCTAGAAGCAATTTACAATCAGAAGGCAACAAGCCAAATCAAACTGAGATAGGGAAATATCTCTGGGTAAATGATCGAATATTTTTACATTATGTGATATATTTTATTTATAACCAACAGTTCTGTTCTCGGGTACATAACACAGGTTCATAACGCGGGTTCATGAAAACGATATGAACTCGTAGCACAGATTACTTACTATTCAAATTAGGTAATGTATTCATGCACCACGTAAACTGAACAACATAGTATTTTTTTAAGTTGACGACTCGGTAAGAATTGAAGGTAAAGTGAATGAAATTGTTCCGCAAAACATAATTTTGATCAAAGATTCAATTCAATAATCACATGAACATTTTTACCAAGATCTTTTTTGTTATGCTCAAGGACATTTTGTATAAAAAAAAGTGCGAGGAATTTAAGGAAAATAATTATGCATTTATTGATAATTGTGTGATAAATAGAATCTTTCACTCGTGCTTATGTAATATATTTATGAAAGGACACTTTGTAGAAAGGTGGACCTCAACATGAAGGTCCTATATAGAAATAGTGCAAGTTATTAAAGGAAATTATGTATTTATTGAAAGTTGTGTGATTAATAATCTTTCAACTTTTTTTTATATCATATGATATTTATGAAATTCATTGCCAGATTAAATATTTCCCCTGGCAAGTCTCGTGTAATATTAAACTCAATTCATAAATTCCATATGACATTAGCACTCGTTTATGTATCCCCTATATA